CATTCCAAAAGTAACAGCGGAGGCAATGTGAATGGCGGCGATCGACTATGTCGACTCTCCGAATTGCGAAGCCGGTGCGCGCATGAGTGCGAATTGTGCAGAAGACCACCCTAAGGCTCGAAAAGTACCTATAGGGAATCCCTTTTGGGTTTCCTCATGTTGGTTTTGTCCTTCTAAGTGCTAGAAGTTGATACCACACGCGAAACTCCAGAAAGGGACGGAAGCGGATCGAACTAAAACGAGGCGGGTCCCACTTCTAAGGGTTCTAAGATAGTCGCAGGAAGACTCCTAAGGCTAGATCCTAACTCCTACGAGGAATACTAGACCTCACGAAAAATTGAGGTCAACAACAGTATAGATTAAAAAATATCATGTATCTAAAATTCAAAATTTGTAGGTTACAATCCCAGACTGTTAAATCCATAATAATCAAGGACTATATTGACTATCGCTAAAAATGTGAGGGAAATCGATTTAGGGAGAAAACATATTCGCCGTTTAATAGAAATTAACAAGAATAAAGCTGAAAATGTCATGGACAGTATTCAAATTCAAACACTTAACTGCTTAGGAGCTCATATTGTAACAAATCTAACAACAGCATTACTCTTTCAATACAACAATGAAAAATTTGAAGGAATAGGAGATGGAAAAAAGTTGGAAATAATTCATGGGAATCATAAACCTCATGTTTGTACGATAAAAATAAACAATATTTGAAATGTTTCACGTCTCTCAGTCGATCAAGAAGATGAATCCTAAAATAGAAGGAATTGCACATCCACTAATTCTGCTATAACTTCACACATCAAACCTCTACTTATACTAGCAAAATCAATTATAAATCCTTCCTAATAACATGAGTTGAGTTGTATAAGTGTTGTTGAAGTCGAAGAAGACGTAAGTTACATGTAATCAAAATGAAAAATCAACTGAAAATCTGGGAAAGCTGTAGAAAGTAGGGGATCACATAATAGATAAATCAATGACAGGTCATAGATATCTTGTAAAGTTCAAAATCCATTGTCCTCGAATGACATAATAACAACTACTAGTTGATTTTTGAGTGAATTTTGTTCAAATTGAACTCAAATTTATTGAGTTGAACCATTTGGAGTCAAAATCTCTTTTTTTTTTTTTAACCATTTTTGCTTCAATATATTTAATTTGTATAAAAATTAGAAATTATAGAGTTTTCTATTTTTTAAGAATCGTAGTTGCTTTTTTGTTTTCTTGTCATACAGTTTTTTCTTATTCATTTCCTATCCTGTTGGATATGACTTGGTTGTCTATCAACGCTTGCCCATCTTTACTAAGTTCTTCTTCTTTGATTCAGGCTTATCTTATTGCAATATTACATCCTGCCAAGAAAGCTTTTATTTGTCACCATTTCTGCTGAGCAGATTACTAGTAGATATGAGCAACTTCAAGTTGGGTGTGGAGGTTGTGAGTGCCCATGATCTAATGCCCAAGGATGGGCAAGGTTCTGCTAGCGCTTATGCTGAGCTTCATTTTGATGGCCAAAAATTTCGCACAACAATTAAGGAGAAGGACCTCAACCCTGTCTGGAACGAGCGCTTCTATTTCAACATTTCTGATATTTCAAATCTACCTGAACTTACCCTTGAAGCATATATCTACAGCATGAATAAAACCACTAATTCCAAATCATTCCTTGGGAAAGTACAGCTTGCTGGAACTACTTTTGTTCCCTACCCTGATGCTGTGGTTCTCCATTATCCCTTGGAAAAGCGTGGAATTTTCTCACGCGTGAAAGGAGAGGTTGGACTTAAGGTTTTTCTTACCGACGACCCCTCGGTGAAAGCTTCAAACCCTCTCCCAGCATCTGATCCCTTTCTGAATAACTCCTCTTCAGCCCAAACTCATCAAACACAGATCCAAACTTCAAATAATACTTCATATCTCCATCCAGAAAGCAGGTCTGAGTCCCGAAATACTTTCCGCAGCATACCAAAAGAAAGCCATATTTCCAATCAGCACAATTCTTCAGCTCATGTGAGTGATCAGCCAAAATATATGGCTGATGAGATGAAACCGGAACCTCCCCTGCCCAGAATAGTGAGGATGTACCCGTCGTCGGCGTCGACGCAACCAGTGGACTATGCACTGAAAGAAACAAGTCCTTTTCTTGGTGGAGGACAAATCGTTGGGGGCCGTGTTATTCGTGCTGAAAAACCAGCTAGTACATATGACCTCGTGGAGCAGATGCAATACCTCTTTGTAAGGGTAGTGAAAGCACGAGATTTGCCTGCCATGGATGTAACTGGGAGCCTGGACCCTTATGTTGAGGTGAGAGTTGGGAATTATAAGGGGACCACAAAACATTTTGAGAAGAAACAAAACCCTGAGTGGAATGAGGTTTTTGCATTTGCTAGAGATCGGATGCAGGCTTCGACCCTCGAAGTAGTTGTCAAAGACAAAGATGTGGTGAAAGATGACTTCGTTGGATTCGTGCGTTTTGATTTGAATGATGTTCCGACACGTGTTCCTCCTGACAGTCCGTTGGCTCCTGAGTGGTATCGACTCGAGGACAAAAAGGGCGATAAAAAGAAGGGCGAGCTGATGCTTGCGGTATGGATGGGCACCCAAGCTGACGAGGCATTTCCTGATGCATGGCACTCTGATGCAGCAGCTACTATTGATTCGTCTGCCATAAGCCCGCATATTCGTTCCAAGGTTTACCATGCACCGAGGCTTTGGTATGTTCGTGTCAATATCATCGAGGCGCAAGACATCATTCCGACAGATAAGACTCGATTTCCTGATGTCTATGTCAAGGCGCAGCTCGGAAACCAATTCTTGAAGACGAGGACTGTCCAGGCCCGGACATTGAATCCTCTTTGGAATGAAGACTTGTTATTTGTGGCTGCGGAACCATTTGAGGATCATCTTATCATATCAGTAGAGGACCGTGTAGGCCCAAACAAGGACGAAATTATGGGCCGTATTATTATACCGTTAGCATCGATCGAAAAACGAGCTGATGACCGTATTGTCAATACAAGATGGTTCAATCTTGATAAGCCAGCCATGGTCGACATGGATCAGATGAAGAAGGAGAAGTTTGCCAGCCGCATTCATATTAGAGTTTGTCTTGATGGTGGTTATCACGTGCTAGATGAGTCTACCCACTACAGCAGTGATCTAAGACCCACGGCGAAGCAGTTATGGAAGCCATCAATTGGGCTGCTCGAACTGGGTATCCTCAGCGCTGAAGGGCTCCATCCAATGAAAACAAGAGACAGTAAAGGAACATCGGATACATACTGTGTAGCCAAGTATGGCCAGAAATGGGTACGCACTCGCACCATCATCACCAGTCTTAGTCCGAAATACAATGAGCAATACACGTGGGAGGTTTATGATCCCGCTACTGTCCTCACAGTCGGCGTGTTTGATAACTGTCAGCTTGGGGAGAAGGGTGGTCCAAATGGTAACAGAGATGCGAAGATTGGGAAGGTACGAATTCGTCTTTCTACCCTAGAGACTGGGCGAGTTTACACTCACTCATACCCACTTCTTGTTCTACACCCGTCTGGTCTTAAGAAGATGGGAGAACTTCACCTTGCAATAAGATTCTCATCAACATCATTGATCAACATGTTGTACTTGTATGGTCGACCGTTGCTTCCGAAGATGCATTATATACGACCGCTAACTGTCATGCAGCTTGACATGCTTCGCCATCAAGCAGTCCAGATAGTGGCGGCAAGATTAAGCAGAATGAATGGAACCGCCGTTACGGAAGGAAGTCGTGGAATACATGTCGGATGTCGATTCTCACTTGTGGAGCATGCGTCGAAGCAAAGCAAATTTCTTTCGGCTCATGTCCGTGTTCTCTGGCCTGTTTGCGGTGGGCAAATGGTTTGGGGATGTTTGTACTTGGAAGAACCCCATCACAACTGTTCTGGTTCACATTCTCTTCGTTATGCTCGTTTGCTTTCCTGAGCTGATACTCCCTACAATGTTCTTATACATGTTTATGATTGGTGTTTGGAATTACCGCTACCGCCCTCGATATCCACCGCATATGAACACCAAGATTTCACATGCGGAGGCTGTGCATCCAGATGAGCTTGACGAGGAGTTCGACTCTTTTCCTACCACCCGTAGCCCGGAGCTCGTGAGGATGAGGTACGACAGGCTGAGGAGTGTAGCGGGAAGAATTCAGACAGTCGTCGGTGATATTGCGACTCAAGGCGAGCGAATTCAGGCTCTGCTCAGCTGGAGGGATCCTCGTGCGACAGCTATTTTCGTTCTGTTCTGCTTGATTTCAGCCTTAGTACTGTATGTGACCCCATTCCAGGTTTTGGCTGCACTGGCTGGATTTTATGTGATGAGGCATCCAAGGTTCAGGCAGAGGATGCCTGCTGCTCCAGTAAACTTCTTCAGGCGGCTTCCGGCGAGGACAGACAGTATGCTGTGAAGATGATTCTCAGGTTGTTAACTTTACCAGCTGTGTTTTTGCTTCAGTGTCAGTATTTTGTTTGTGTTATCTATATTTCATGTTTGTAGTAGTGGTAGAGGACAAGCCAGTAGTTGGAGACTGCAGATAATTTTTTCTGTTAAGTTTGTGTATCTTCTGTTAAATTCATTAGGTGCTTTGTTTATTATGTGTTGGTGATATGAATATGAAGTGCAGCTGTCGATTCAAGTTGATATTTTGTAGATGTTGCAGTTTAGGAAACTTTATTCTCCAGTCACACCTTTCAAGAAGAAAAAAAATGTATCATTTTGGTGAATTCTACGATGTCAAGGGTCCAACTTTTCTAATATTTTTAGGTTTTAAAATGATGGGCGAAGTCTAATAATATATTGCCACATAAGAGGATATAGAGTTTAATAATTCAAAAATACTAATTGCATGCATTTTAATTTGTGGATGTATACTTGAAAAAAATGTAGTCTTCAAAGACAATGACGATTGAATGCGTGAATAATTCAAAGAAGTTGATGGGAGATTTCATCCATGAAAAATGGTATGTATTTTTTTTTAAAGGTATGTAATTAAAAGTTCTTATTGTAATTGAAGTATTAATTGTAAAAATTTTGGTAAAAATGATGACTTACATCACCTAAATCTCATGTATTTTAATAAGGAGGGTTGACAAAATATTGCTAAGAGGTTTAAAGAATTGAGTGGAAGAGATTACTGTAGGTTTAAAATCAGAAACAAATGTGACCAATTGAAGTAAGAGTGGAAAATATGGAAGGAGCTGAAATGTGGCTTTATCAGATTGGGTTGAGATCCCGTTAAACGATCTATTGATGCTCCAGATGAATGATGAGCTGAAAGATTGAAGGTACTAACTATCAATATCTTTTCTTAATTTCATTATTTTTTAGTTAATGCCTAAACTCCTCTAATAAATGTCTTATATTCCAGCTAATGCCAACTGCCAAAAAATATAGGCAGTGTGGAATTGAGCCAGAGTTCAAGGAAGAACTGGACATAATGTTTAAGGGGGTTGTCGCGATTGGAAAGAATTCATTCAACCCAAGTGAAATGAGATTTTCAGGAATACCAGTTGACTTGCCACCTGAACAGGTCATAGCTGATGATGAAAGGTCTAGTATTAACCAAAAGGAGATTGGAGAGTCCAGTTCCATGTCCAAAAGGCCTAGGCTTGGCAGGAGGATGAAAGAGAATGATAATTTCTTTAAAAGCTCATTCATGAACTAATAGTTGCTTTTTCAGCTCCACCTCCCATTGACAGCACCATCTGAGACTGCGTTGTCATTTTAGATACTATTCCAGAAATAACTGATGATATACGCTTTCAGGCAAAATGTGTTAAAAAACTTGAGGACCCTACTCGTAGGCAAATGTTCATGGCCCTAAGGCCCGAGCTGCGCCTTGAATATTTACGTGTTTTAGTAGAAGAATGAGACTGTTTTGTAAGAACCTGTCAATAGATGTATTTCATTTTATGTACTTCATTTCCGGATGATTTATATTTCATTTGATGTAATTTATTTTCTTATGCATAGAATTTCATTTTATGTACTTCATTTATTGATGTTATGTATTTCATTTATGTCATTTTCCAGATGCTTTCTTCACTAGATGTATTTCATTTATGTCATTTTCTGCTAAATTATTTCATCCTAATGAATTTATAACTTTAGGATGAATCCACTACGAGAACGTCGTAAAAGAATGACATGGGCTGCAGTAATAGCGATATTATTATTGGAATATTACCGCTCCAGCACTAGACGGATACCACGCATGACGACCTCATATGTTGGGGACAAATGGGTGGATGAGATGCTTGTTGGACATCCAATAAGGTTCAGTAGCATTTTTCGAATGAGTGCACCCATTTTTATGGATCTTCTACATGACTTATGTTGTAACCACGACCTCCAAGGTTCTTCTAGAACGACCACGAGAGAGGTTTTGACTATAACATTATATATTCTATCACAGAATGAATCAGGTAGAGGAGTTATGGAGCGATTTCAGCATTCCTCAGAAACAATTAGTTGATACTTCTATAAAGGTATACAAGCACTTGTGAGCTTAGCAGTGCAAAACATTAAGCCATCTGATCCATCGTTCGTAACTATTCCTGAACAAATTGCTAATGATCCCCATTACATGTATTTCAAAGTAAGTTTGATTAGTTTGTTACTTTTACTTCAATACCTGTCGAATTGCTAACTACGAGTTATAGAACTGCATTGGAGCAATCGATGGTATGCATGTGGATGCCCGACTTCCAACTCATGAAAGGATCGCGTATATTGGTTGGAGTGGTAAGAACATTTGGAGTGTAGAAGAAGAAATGGGTTATCTTACGTGATATGCCCTCGTATTCATTTCCCAAACAGGTGCATATTGTGGTGGCCACTATGACACTTTTCAACTTCATCCGACAACATCCCTCTCATTCAGATATGAACTTCGATATTGCTGATGATGATCCAATTATTGACTCCCTAGAACCTTCAGGATCTCTACCAGATAATGAAATCAAGTCTACTGAATATGAAACTCAGGACGGTGAGGGTGCAACCGAGATGGCTGCTTTGAGGGAGTCTATAACAAATGCTATATATGACAGCTAATCCAGCAAGTCTTTCTTTTCTTCGTATATATGTAGATCAATTTTTATGTATATTTTATCTTTTTGGGATAAGTTCTGACATTCAATTTTTTTTTTATTTTTTTCGCAGTTATACAAACATGTCTTCTAGGATATCAGTTACAGACAGAGGTATTTTGTGTTATTGTGGACTACCGTCTTCGTTGCTCACATCACGTCAGTCTCATAGCTTTAGGAGGCAGTTCTACGGTTGTGCCAAGGGTGTTTCAGCTCTTTGAGGTTTCTTCCGATGGGCTGACAGTCCCACATATTACACTGCCAACAGTCATGGGAATCCGATGTTTTCCCAGGTTGATAGTGCAGATGAGGACAGACGTAATCAAAGTTTGAAATTAAATATTTTATTATTTCTCATTGTAGTTGTAATTGTCTTTGTGCTTTTTTTATTTATTCTGGTACTCACGAGAGTGTGAGAAATGTATGTCATCTTTTGGAACTGATCTGTGATGATTGTATGCTTCTGCACTATATGCTTCTGTACTAACAATAAGTTATTCTGAATAAGCTGCCCCAAACAATTTTATCAGATAGGGGCATAAATGTCATTTAACCACCAATAAGCTAATCTGAATAAGCTGTCTCAAACAACAAGCCATATTATCTTGATAATCTGCAGATTATCAGATTATCAAGATAATCAGAATAATCTGCTTATCAGCAAATTATAAATAATCAACAGCTGCGCCAAACAGACCCTAAGTTGTAGGGGTGGTTTCTTCCTTTTTTTTCTTTTGTTATAAAAAAATTTAAGTTAGTTTCTCAGTTAAAAGTATTTCAAAATATCTTTTTGAAAAACTAATTCTTAAAATTGAAAAGCATCATGCATAATATATATATATATATATATATATATATATCATGAGAAACTCATGCAATATATAATTAGGACAAAATAATTTGAAATATAAATAAGACAATTTTAAAAAGAAGCAATTATCTGGATAGTGATACACCTAAAATTATTGCGAAGTAGATGATAATCACGTAAGTATACGTATTGATCAAGTAATATACAGAACTGAATCAGAGTGTCAATCTCATGAGAACAAGTTGACTTCTAAATTCAGGAGAAGTTCTAATCTAAGTCTAGCTTGAATTTTCTATGTTTTGGTAGATTTTTGAAAGTATCTACAAAGGGTTTCTTTGAATTAAGTTTTGGGGTTTTAATTAATAAAGAATACTTCCATTGAATTGGATCGAGCACACTAGTCATATCCACATGACTCTAATGTTGTTGACAACCTAGAAAACAGTTTTCCTTAGCCCATTCCAATAGTCATAAGAAACGTTGGTGTTTCATATTACAATTAGTCTCTCAAACATAAAAAAACTCCAGTGTTTTCTGTGTTTCCTTGTGTGGTTAAACTACTATAGGGGTGTAAAAAAGTATAGCCGAATCAGCTTGAGTTTGAGCTTGATTAATTGTATCAAGCTCGAGCTTTTGTTTAATATAAAAGAGAGAAAATACTAATAATTTATGCTAGTTTTATAATAAGATGACAAGTAGAATGAAAAATTAAAAGATTAAAAAAAAGAAATCACTTAATATACAGTTAATATCTTTAAGGTAAAATTTTGAAATTTAATATATTTTGAGTATATTTTTTTATTAAACTTTTTGAAACGTGCCTACTCACAAGCTAACGAGTCAAATAGAGGCTGGTTTGAGCTTGGTTTGTTAGCTCATTGAGCTCAGTTCACGAGCCACTTATGAATCTAGCTCACGAGTCAGCTTGACTCACTTACACCCCTACACTACTCTAGCGGAAATACCTCTATTCAACTAAAGCCGTTCTGTTAACCTATCGTTCCACTAGCATATTCCCAAATTACTAGATCACAATTTATTTTAACACATCAATGGGCCAAGTAGAAAGTAAATTAGGAGCATAAAGTTAACATATCAACATGCTACACAGATCAATTCAATCACACTTCATTGATAGTAATAACATGGATATATTGCCAATCCAAGGGGGTAAGAAATTTAGTTCTTACTCATATGAAAGAAACATATTGAAGAATTTATTTCAAATTCAAAGCAAATACGAGTTGGAAAAGTCTCACCAATTTGCTCCGCCAAATTACATGAGTTAAAATGAATCCTCTGAGATTCTTCACTATGTGTATACAATAAGTATAATCTCACTCTCCACACTTGATCTCACTTAGGAGAACGCTCGCTCACATTTATAACACTCCATCCTTCAAGTGTTTTGACTGCTCTTTGTAGTTCTCCGTCGAAACCCTCCACTTGTTCTATAGTGATTTTTGTTTTCTCCCCCTCAAATTCATCCAAAGGATCAAACCCTAAAAAAAGTTGGAGAAGCGACTTCGAATGCCCATAAATCAATCTTGTATAGCCACCATGATGCCACGCAAACAAGACTTTAATGTCGGTTGACCAACGCTGGAGCTCCTCTTTGAAATACCAAATTTATATTCTCACCTTCAGGTCAGGTGCCAAGTTTCCCACGCGTGGCACCAAGATTTCTGAAAAGTGGTGCCAAAATGTTGGATAAGTGCATTAGGAATTTCTTGCTTGGCTTAGAGAAGGGAGTCATGCCTCAGAGGTGGCG